AAGCAAGCTGAAACTTGCAGGAGCATTTAGAAACCAAACGGCTACACTGGGCTTGTTTCGTTTGTCATTTTACCCGAATGTAAAAACAGCAAGAACTACAAAGAGTCTCAAGGCTCTCTGCAGCATTTTCTAAGGCACAGTAATCAGTTACAACATGTTATTCTTCATTATACTTCAGTCTTCAGATCCAACACACAGCGGGAACTTCTCTGATCCTCCTCTTGGATTTTGATGTTAAGGGTTAATAGAGCGCTGCTCTATTTGATGTTTGTTTGGGTGCTTTTTGTACTGTAACATACAGGAAGCTGTATTACCTTTTGTTTATTAGTAGTATAACCAACAATGGCTGTTTGGCTTTACTGACATTAAGGCTGTGTATTCCGCTATCTCCATTCATTTGTTGTTAACATGTGCTGACAAACTAAACATTTCAGACAAGATGTTCAGAGCTTATTTCAGCACCAGTTCTGTGAAAGCACATTTCCATACTCCTGCACTGAGAGAGAGAACCAACTGACAGGGAACTGCCTTAAGCTTCAGCTTTGCTGCCAGACTCCTCGCTCTCTTTTTGTTTTCTCTTTCCTTTTCCACACAAAATGTTGAATGGCACTGTAGATGTTGAGGATGGAAATTTATGCAAGGGAATGCTGATTTTTTTTGCTCTCTCCTCGTTGCAAACTCTCTGTAAACATACATAATGGACTATGGAGATTGCAGTACTTGCTAACTTATATTTTTGAGGTTAATATTCATGTGTGGGGAGAGAAGAAGAGCAACGAGGTACTCCTTCTTTAGAAAGTAAACAGTCTTCAGTAAAAGCAACAGCACTGCTGACAGACCATTATTTTAGCCAGTTTAGAAGAGGGATATCTTGATTTACTGAAGCAACTGTCAGTCAATATCGCCGCCCTTGGATATGTTATAGCAAGACAAGTGGAAATGCTGCCTGCTGGGACTGCTGTAGCCTGAAGGTAAAGAATAAGGCTTGTGACCAGAAGGCAAAAGGATGGAGTTTCTGGATGGGGGAAATGTGGACCCCTAAAAAAGCTATTATATTGTGCAATCTCTGAAGAACCAATATCAACATTAAATGCTCTTTAGCAAGGAACTTATCCCATTTGCCCGTTCAGCTGGTTAGTCTAACAGAATCTGTTGCATTTTTCAACAATTTGCTCAGAATTCAGGTAAATAGCACGTAGTCCCAAGGCTCAGTGGCAGTGGGTAGTTAAGGTCTTCCTGTACTTTATGTTTAATTTGAAGATCTAAACTCACACACACTCAAAGTGCTTTTATTTTAAAAAACAAAACAAAACCTAGAACACTTTGCATTCGTGGCCGAATTTTCTCCTAATTATATTCTTACTCTATTTCCAACTATAACTCCTTTAACTTTTAGCCAAATCACAGAAAACCTTTGAGCATTCGTTCTTTCATCTAGGAAGGTCTAAAAAATTTCACAGAGTGATACACAAACCTAGAGCACACATTGATTTTTGAGCAATTAGTAGTTCAAAGATTCCAGTTTTCATCATTATTTCAACAGTGACCTCAGTGGGATTAAGAGGCGGAGGTATATTAACATTTACTTTTACTTTGTAGCCAGAATTTTTTAAATTGCTTGTTTTAAGATTTGTGTTGCAATATTGCTCTCTTAGTGTCTATGACTGGAATCTTGCACGTAGGCAATATTACAAGATTGGAGAAAGTGCAAGATGAAAAATATACACTTATAATAATATATTGCATGGCTTACAGAGCTCCACTAACCTTTTTAATTATTTAGTTCAGCCAGCTGGAATCCCCGGGATTCCAAGCAGCATAGGTTGTAGGAAAAACACTCGAAATCGGTTGACGTCAGGAGTGATTTTGTGTTTTGCAAATATAAAGAAATTATTGTGCCAACATAAAAAGACGTTTTTTGTACTGTACAAATTGCTTTTAGGACTAACAACATAACAACAAACTGCATTTTCTGATGTCATCATGGCTGTTTAGGTGTTATATAAACAATCTATCGGTTTCCAAAAATGTGTTTTCATCCAAGCAGAATTCCTACAAAAACAAAACAAAACAAACAAAAACACTAAACAGTTCTTGGCTCCAACTGAATCAAAGCATCCTATTTAGGCTAAATTCAAAATTCAAATGAAGCATTTGGAAACAAAATACACAAATCAATTGATGTGACATTCAGGCTTAGCTATGGGAATTATCTAAACGTAATCTTGCATAATATCAACAATTCATGCTCATTTTATGGTAATTATGCTTCATTATGATAAGATGCTCAACAGGTTGGCTCAGAGCAGTGGGACTGCAAGTTTCAGGCTGATGTGACACATGATTGAGACAGATTATGGAGGTCCAACGGGATGCTCTCCACAGTAACCATGGCAAGCTGCGGTCTAGCAGACTCATTACAACTGGTCACTATGGGTTTCCATGCATGAACTTATAATTACGCCAAATAAATGGCTGGAAATCTTTCAGTATGGAAAATGAGCTACTACTAGGGCACAATAGACTCCAAACTCTATTAAACCTGTAATGGAAATCATTTATCATGGTGTGTGACCCCCACCTTTTGTATGGACTGCTTAATATTCTACCTGTATTACATGGCTCAGAATCTCACTTTGAACATCCTCTCAGTGCTCAACATTTTGTTCTTGAGCTGCTCTAACTTTCACAAGGTTAACCTGAAGGATCAAAGTGATCTGCAAGGCAAGTGAGACTGGGGTGGGAAGATGATTTAATTAAAGCACATTTCTATCTTTTCCTATCCTAGTGCAGGTCTGACCTAGGGCTCAGGTGTGGTTAATTTAAATAATCAAGCCTACATGCCATACTGGACAACATCTGGTTTAACTACATTATCTTGTATTCCAACAGTGAATAAACTTTATTTCTATTTCAGCTTCTTCTGCTAACAAAGTTTTGTTGTTTTTTTATTTGGTTATTTTACAAGTTCTCATAAAATTATGTACAACACAGAGGATTGCGATAACTTTGCTACTTTAGATACTGAGCCTGCAATCGTACCATACCAGCTGACAAAAGCCCAGATCAGCTGATGGCTACGGAATCAACTGGCAAAACAAATGTAAGACATACATATTACTACTTGTACAGCTGCTGCCATCTGCAAGCTTCTTTGGAACCCACCTCTTCTTTAGCTCCTCCTCTCCATGTTGTGCCTGACTAAGGCTGCAGTCCACAGGTAAAGGAAACAATGTGTATTCAATAACTGATTGGAAAACTGTTTCTGGTGGCTGCAATTAGGGTTGGGCGATATGGCCTAAAATTCATATCGCGATATAATTTGAAGCATGTGCGGTAACGATATATATCACGATATATTCTTTTCTTTTGTGTAACATATTTTCCACACTATAAGGCACACTTAAAATCCTTTAATATTCTTAAAAAATCGAGAGTGTGCCTTATGTATGAATTCTGGTTGTGCTTACTGACCTCGAACAGATTTTGGCGCGCAGAAATCTGTTAAAAAATGTTTTAGTACAACTTTGGTAAGCGGCACAGCTTGATGGATTGTCAGAGCATTACGGCTGCCATAGTGAAGAGCTTCGCGGAGTAATCTGGGTCCAAAACTCCGTCCACTTCAGGTCCCAAAGTCAAACGAACACGGTCTAAATTCTTTCATCTTTAATTAAATCATCAGCGTTGCTGCTTTATCGGGTGTAACAATTAAGTTTTACATCCATGCATATACATATTGTCAAAATCTCTATCGTTGGCCAAATTTATATCGTTTCTATCGTATATCGTTTATATCGCCCACCCCTAGTTGCAATGTAACAAAGTAGCATACGGCATGGCACCGAAAACCTGCTTATGACTCATTTTTCACTAGCAGATTGTCACGGTCACCCATAGCTTGCATGGAGGACATGGAGGTTGTCTGCAAACACTCTAAAACTACGACTCATGTCCAAAACTGTGAAAAGGAGAACACAACTAGAAACTAGAAACCAAGAACATTCTCTTTCAAAGTAAACAATGCACCTTTTAAAGTCTGTTGGGTGGAGTCGTAAGGGACAACTTTTACTTTGAAAGCATAAAATGTAAAAGCAGGAAATATTTCCTGTTTTCACATTTTACTATTACTTTGCTAATAGTTAGCCAGCGTTTGCAGACAAGCTAGCATCTTCCATGCAAACTTCAGGCGAGTGTAGCAATTTGCTAGTGACCACAGAAATATGGGAGGTCCCACTGCAGAGCTATGAGGCCCAGTACAAATTACTGCATACTGAAATCATATTCTTCTTCTGATTATAGTGGCCATGACTGAAATAGATTGTGTGAGTGTGCGTGTGTGTGTTGGGTTTTAACATAATTTCTGCTTTACTGCAATGAACTGTTTCTGAACTATTAAAGTTACTCAATTAGACACAACCCCCCCTGACATTTCCAAAATTTGTATTTTACCTCTACATAGGTTTTACATTCTTTTCTATAAAGTTTGTTTTCTATCAACATTTCATTGAAATTACACATACTGTAATAAAGCAAAAAAAAAAAAAAAAAGACCTGGTATCTTTTCTTCAGAGTTTATTATTTCAGTTTATTCAGGTCTTCATTTTCCGTTTTCTCTCACTAAAATGTGGTGCCAGACTTTGATTTCTGCTTGAAGTGCAGAGCTTCATTAATAATTGCTCTATAAATCTGTTCATGCCTTACCTTCACTAAACTGTGACTTTGCTGTTACTTGCAGCCACGACCTGGCTTGCTCCCTGTTTCCACTAAATGTTTTGGCTCGTACCTCCACCTATCACAATGCAAGGAAGTAAAAGAGAACGCAATGAATGGAGAGGTATACTGTTGCAGGAACAACCAACACCAAACAATGCGAAAAAAAAGAAAAAAGAAAGCCTTTCGCCAATAGCTATAGCTGCACTGGCGCTGACATCATATCACTCCCACATCTCCCTCTCTTGATTTCAGCCCCACCCGCTCCTTTCCATTACCAAGTCGGTCCGTGTCCCCGTGTTATTTAAAGCCAGAGATCCTCCCTCTCGCCGAGCCACTGTGTTGCATCTGTCTGCCTCGCCGCTTGTGTGTCTGGGTGCGTGTGTGGATGAGAGTGCGCTAAAAAACCCAGGCAGCCAGTGGGAGAGCTAGAGAGCGAGGGAGAGAGGCACGGGGGAAAGGCAAAAATCATCCAAGAAGGGAGAAGGAACGGGAGTGTGAGACAGCTATGAAATTCATCCAAGCTATTTGCTTACTGCTTCTCTGTCCGGCTCTGAGCCTCAATACCAGGTAAGAGATAAACAAGAAAACATTTCTTTTCTTTTTTCTTTTTTCTCCCGTCAGTTTCATCCTGCCGGAGACTCTGAAACAAAAGGGGTGTCTTGGTTCAAAGCATGGTATTCTGGACGTCTGCTCAGTCCTGCCAAATACTGAAGCGTTAATTCGTCCCGGCAGTGGCTCTGTGTGTGCTAAGAATGTTAGAAACTGAGAGACTTAAAGGAGGAAGAAAGAGCTTAGCTGTTGAACTGGGTTATTATCTTTTTTAGTTCTGAAGCAGGCTGAGAGACAGTTGTCCTTTTGTGGAGGTAATTCACTGGATTTGCCTCCTCCGCTTTCCCCTGAATAGTGGCGACATTGCTTTTTTTTTTTTTTTTTTTTTTTTTCTTGAGGACTTTTGCTGCCTGGTCTGGGAGGGAGCAAGTTGAAGTCAGGGGAACTGAGAGAAAGGACAAGGCGACTTGTGTTGCAGTGCCTTAGAAAGAGCAGGTGTGTGCGCGTTTCCTTTCGCTTATCTGCAATATTTAAAAAAAAAGCTCAAGGAACAGTGATAGACAAGAAGGATGGACAAATGAAGAGAGCGATGTGTAGAGAAGGAGAGTTTTGATGATTAATTAAATCATTGATAAAAATCATCCTTCTTCTCTGCCACTGCCTGACACCACTGCCTTAATGAGAGCCGTGAGAGGGGAAATTCAGGGCTTTGACTTTACCATAGAGACATCACACGCAGGAAGGCATGCATTATAAAACTTGCCTTTTCTTTTCTCCATCATTGCCCCCCCCAAAAAAACATCCCATCTTTTAGTGGTGAGTGAGTGGAATGCAGTTTCTGGGGAAAACATCCACGGGGAGAATGATGGCTTTGAACTCAGTGTTTTTTGCTGTTGATTTGAACCAAATGGACACATGTCTGTGTATTTGTTAGTGACATGCTAAACACCGTCAGGGCTACCAATTATTTATTTTGCCTCAAGGGTTACAACAGAGGAGAATTTCTAGAGAAAGTCAAGGTTACTGCACACATCCAACATATTTGTCAATAGCAGAGAGGTAGCACTGATGATGTATGAGTCATATAACTAGGGGCTATATTGACGTATTAACCTCTAGCATTTAGCAGTCAGCAATCCAAGCACTCACACATTTTTATTTAATTATTTATTTTTGTTTAGCACACCTACAATTAGATGTTTCCTTTAAGTCATATATACAAGTAATCTTCTGGTAACAACTTTTTAATCATTTATCAGTTTGGGTTTTTTTAAGGGTCTTTTGAGTTCGCAGACTCATTTAGCCATTTTCTAAGCTGTGAAACTAATAGTGCTTTTGTTTGACTTTGATTAATTAAAATATACGCTGTCTCCCAAGATTTATTTTTAAACCGTGTATACCATTATTAGTCTTAGAGGTAATCTTTTGAACACTAATTGGAGAACAGGGCATTACGGTGGTAATTTGGCAGGTCAGCACAGATTGTATGCTACGTCTTGAGGGGGAAAGTCATGAAAAGTAATTACCAGAACACACAGATGTAATCAGTGTTTTATAAGACGGTTTGTTTCCAGACTTAGCATAAAAAAAAAAAAAAAGTAATGGGATTGGAAGGTTGCGCCTGGTTAAGAGCGGAGGGCTGGTCGAGAAATAAGGTCAACTGTGACCTTCTGAACTTCAGGTCATGTTAAAAAAAAAGGGAGAAAAAATGTTCACACCTGAATAGATTTGCAAAGCCACGTCTGCCTGCTTTGCCTTCAGGAAGCAACATATCTGACTAGGTAATATTATAATGCTGGAATTGAAAAAAACAACAACCCCAAAACTGAAAAATCATTTCGGCGAATTCAAATAATAAACTCCTACATTTTTTTTTTTTCTGGAGCCTCAGTTTTCTTTAAATTGATCTTTTTTTCCTCTGTGGTAATTATGCAGCTTCAGTAAAAAAAAAAAATTGCATGCTTGTTTTTTTCAGGCTCAGATTTCCAGGATCGCCAATGAACTTTTTGGCTCGTAGTGAAAGAGGCTTCTATTATTTTGTCTAACAATAACGTGGTGACACTTTTGCTCAGGACTGAGTCTACAGATGGCCATGGTTTTAAATGTTAATGAAAAGGACAGCATAAAGGCACCTCTACAGGGATCCTTGAATGGATTCAATTAAAGGTCTCCACTGAGCAGGTTTAGTTCTCCTGCTGTGGTTGATATGCTTAAAGGTAGACATGTCAGATATATGGCTATGCATTTCAATAGCCAGCTCTGTATTGTTCTACTAAACTGTGTATTAATCTAGCATCCCTCTACAGTGATCCTGCTGTGGTAATGACTGTTACATTTTTTTATTGTTGTTGTCATATTTATTTGTTTTCCGAGCTTGTTTGAAGCGGTACAGACGTTTAGATTTTTTGAACCTCTTCTGTGCCTGTTGTGTTTCTGTTTTCATTCAAATTCTTAAAATTTCCTTTTGCTCCTTTCTTATTGTTTTAATAAAGCCACATGCCAAATGCCAAACCTGGGAATGACGTCAGTGCCGCGGGTGGATTTTTGTTGTTTGATCCAGCTGGTACTCCAAACAATAGCTGATTGCTTCCTCAAGCAGCTGTCACATTTTTGCTGTTATCCTGGAGGTCATGGGTCCAAACATTGCTTATCATTTGTGACATCCTCATTTTTTCTTATAATAGTGTGGCACTGAAGAGACTGACTGCGAGGTGTATCTGCACCAGTAAAATGAATTGTGACTGTGACTGTCTAGTCTGTGTATTGCTCTAGCTGGCTTTGCTTGATTCATTTCATCAGTGGTGCGTAAGAGAATCCATTTCATATGTTAACTGCAGCCTCTGTCCTGCGACCTGATAGAGTCACCTAAAGAAGTGAGAATTAATAAAATAGGAATTGTGTCAAGTTTTCATGCGTGATGGCTGCATTTCGATGTGCCTTTGGTCTACTTAAAGGTGCTGCGGGGAGGTTTTAAAAGACAAAACATCCTTAACAAACATTGGCAAAAAATAAATAAATGAATAAATAAAGAACTTTGAAACTTCAAGGCTGTTATAAAGACCCTTCTTCCAGATGAGCATAGAGGAATATGGCACAAGCCTTCATGACTTTCTGTCAGACAGACTTTATAATATGTGGGTAATGGTTCTTTTTAACCTAATCAAATAGTTTTATTGGCTAAACCAAAGCAAACTCTAACTGAAAGTCATTAAAGCCACAAGGGAACTATGGAGAAAGGTTTGCCACCAGATACCACTACAACCATGTTTAGTTCTGTTTTACTGTATTAAAATCTAAGACTTTTCATAGGCTTACTAACTAAAAGTAAGTATAAGAATTCTGTTAACATTTTAACGTCATCTCTGTAAAAACTGTAAAACTCAAAATGCTTTTTCCGGTTCCTTTATAAAGAATTATGGTGTTTTAATGAATTGAGCGGGTTACTCGGGCCACATAATAGTGGTGCAGGGCCATGTGTCATTGCAAAAATCAATTGGTACTTAGGCACAACACAAGGCTGCATTGACATCAGTCCCATGAGATATGACTTTCCACTTCTGGGTCAGCACTGGGGGCTACTACAGTAAGCTTGTCTCCACTGCATTTGGCTTTTTTTTTTTTTTTTGCTCTATACAGATCAAACAGCTCCACCTTTTTAAACTTTCACATATTCCCTTTCAGAGCATTTCTTGAAACATATTTGACTCATTTCTTTGACACTGTCTTTGATGTCTCTTACCTTAGCAGACTCCTCTTGGAAACAGGGATATCTGGTGGGATCTCCACAATATGAAATATTTATGAGTATTTTGGACGGCAATTGAGTACAACAGTGTAGCTTTATATATTAATAGCTAGTAATAGAGATGTTACCGGTCACATTGCAAATTATCATTTTAAATTGAGACTGCCCTTAACGTTATATAAGATCAGACATGAAAAGGAGGGTCATTTCTACATCTGATAAAAGTACAAAACAAACCGAAAAACAAAGGAAAATCATCAGATTGCTGTTTTTGGTGATTTTGCCTTTAATAATAAGCTTTTTTTTTCTTTTTGAAACTGTTTTCATGTCCATTAGTGACATTTTAAAGTGGACCTCTTTTGTTTTTCGGTATTTCCTGCTGCTACAATGGCCGTAGTTTCAAATCATGGTCAGCATTTATACAAAAAAGGCTGACAAATCAAAAGCTTTAGATCTTTGTGGTGTCAGAGAGTGCGGATATTATTAATATTGTCATCTCAGGCACACAGTTTAAGCTTTGAGCATAGCGGCCCCATCCATCTGCTGTTAAATCCTTCTGTTTGTGAAGGGTAGCTATAGCACAGTATGAGATAACCCAGGATTAGTATGAACTTTGACCCACACAAATGTGCTTTAGTCGAGTCCAAGAACAAAAATATACAGCAGGAAATGAGCATTAATAGGTCAATTTGAAGGCAGGAAACGGCAGGTAGGAACTTTTTTGTTTGTTTTCTCTTTTCTCTTCTCCACGCTCTTCCATATTTAGCTTTGAGAATAAATCTTCTTTCAGGGAAATGGAAATAAATATCACAAAATACAAATTAATGTGCTTATTTTACAGCATTTCTTTTGGAATTTAATGTCTCTCATTTCCTGTTCACTTAGCTTATGTTCCATATTTAAACATGACATTTTATTCATGTTTAAATATGGAAGTAATCAATTGGGGAACTTCATTGTGACATCTGTTAGGTTAATTAAAAATATGTCTTGCCTCAAGCATCAAAACTTTGTGCTCTGTCTTAATTTACGTAGGTCCTTGTGGAAATGGTTCAGTACATCTGCATTTTCACATCACAGAGAGCGTTTTCTTGTATAAAGCAACATCTCAACGTGCAACTGTTTTCTCATCCAGTTGAGTAGAAATTGTGCAGAAAGGTGCTCGCAGATGCTGCCTTCGCCTCACGTGTGCGGAGCTGAAAAATTGTCCGCAAACCTTTATTTCCATCAAATCAATATTTTGTTACAAATGATAATAAACATATTCGAACAA